GATACTACCGCGCCGACACTTACGCGCAAAATGAAGTTTTTCTGTTTTCTTCATGTTAAGATAATAGTTCTTTCAAACTTTGTGAATAACTGTTCTGTTCCCATATTATCGGATTAATTAAACTCATTTGTTTAAATAAAAGAAAGATGTTCTACTTCCATATTATTGAATCAATTAACATGAATAAAAAGCTGATCAAGATCATAGGGCTAACTAATACAATTGAAATATAAGTGAGTTGAAGATAAGATGAAGTAGGTGAAATATAAATATAAATAGCGGGTGTCCCAAAAGTACGGGAAGAAAATTTTTCTTTATAACTCCGCCATTTCTTAGCCAAACTTCAAGGTTGTATTTTTGTTTGATAGAGAAACGTTCCAAGTTTTATTTCGTACGATTGGAAATTTTTGTGTAAAAAAGAATCAGTACGGAAAAATAATAAAACTTACAACATATGTTTTCTATTTAAGTACTTGTAATAGTGCGTAAAGATTGTTGAGTTTGTCATAATTAAATGGAATATTTGTCAAAGTCGCATTACGTCTCATTTTGTAGAACTCAGGTTGCTCTACAATCCCACATATTCTAATGTTTTGTCCAGCTTAAAGTTTTGCCACAAGAAGTTAATTTCTCCATATTAGCACGATCTAGGGATTGCGACTTCTACAAAAGCCTGATACAACCTTTTATAGGCTTTCAAACTAGGCATGCACCAGTTATTAACTGGTGTTGGAGCATCCAGGAGAATTACTACAAATCAGTTATCACGATTCTCTAAGAGCTGCAAAACATCTAATTTTGAAAAATTAGATGTTTTGCAGCACCAGTTAATAACTGGTGCATGCCTATTTCAAACTATTCCAGTTTATAAGGCTACCTTCTTCCTGTTAAATTCCACTAGTAGTTTTTCCTTTTATTAGTAACTTTGTCTGAAAAATGTTTTTATTACTTTTTTACACTTTTCCAGATGCTAGTATGGAATAACAATGACTGAAGAAGTCCACACCAACCGGTCATATTAAACAAAAGCAAATTCTTATTTCATTATGTGAAAGCCGTTATCATCTACTTTATTCTAATATTAAAAATTATTTATGTTCTTTTTAAAACGTTTTGCAGCACATAATTTATTAAAAACGAGCCCCAAAATATCTGAATTTCACTATAATAAACCCAAACATCTTTTTAAATATTAACAAGAGTTTCCAATCGTACGAAATAAAACTTGGAACGTTTCTCTATCAAACAAAAATACAACCTTGAAGTTTGGCTAAGAAATGGCGGAGTTATAAAAAAAAATTTTCTTTCCGGACTTTTGGGACACCCGATATAAGTTACTTACATCATTCCGATAACTTCTTAAATCAAAAATATGTCTCTCACCAAGTCAATCAAAGGCAAAGATCAAGTTCTTCTCGACGGTATCGTTATCGTCGGGATAGATTAGTTTGGCGTTGTGTAAAAGGTAATTGCAAAGGTCGTGCTCGTTATGATGGAGTAATGTACGAAATGTATCAAGATCATATATGTCAAGCGCCAGATCCAAATGAAATTGAAAAAGCTGTGTTCAGTCATGAAATTAGACAGAAGGCAGAACAATGTCACGATCCGCCAAGATTAATTATACAAGAGGCACGGCTCAAATTATTTTCAGGTGCCGCTGCTACTATTCCTCAATACACAGCATCACAACGTGCAATTCAACGTATTCGACAGGATAAAGATATTCCAACAGAACCTAAAACATTTGCCGCTATTGTTATTCCGCCAAATTTTCAAATTACCGTTACAAACCAACAATTTCTATTATATGATAATAACAACCACCATCAAAGGTTATTAATATTCGCTAGTACCGAACAATTAGATCTTTTGAATGGATGTGAAAGTTGGCATTGTGACGGCACGTTCACTGTAAGTTTTTGAAATAACAAGTCAGAGTCCTGCAGTATACCTGTTTTCTTATTTATAGGTAGTCCCTAAGTTATTTGAACAAATGTATTCTATTTATGGTTCAATACACGGAAAAACGTTGCCGTTATTGTACGCCCTTTTATCAAATAAAACTCAAGGAACATATGAATAATTATTTAAAATAGTTGATCAGTACATTCAACACAAACCAAAATATGTAACAATTGATTTTGAAAAAGCGGCCGAAAATGCGCTTGCTACTATATTTCCTCAATGTGATATATTTGGTTGTTTTTTCCATTTCAAACAGTGTGTATGGAGAAATATTTGCTTAAGTTTATTTTAATTATGAGATAGTAAGTGAAAGTCTTGTCTTGCGCTATCTATAATAGTTTATCTTTTTCCAATAGGAATTACGTTTGAGAAAAGAGTTTCTTGAAAATGCAGATAGTCGTCACACAATGAAAAATTTAGTAGCATTAGCCTTCGTTCCACAGCAAAACGTTATTCAAGAATTTACTCAAATAAAATAAAATGCGCCAGATGTATTAGATCGTAAGCAGAAGAAAATGTTAGTATGTGTACATAGAAACTTCATCTGACATC